GCGTACACATACATTCTAGCGTGTGTTAAAAAAACGGTAATGTGCAGTTACATTAAGTAACGTGTAGGTAATGTGAGTGCTTCTTTCTCTATGGGAGTAGATATAACTCTCAGGCTGCCTGTATGAATGAGCATCATGCAGTGACTTAACTATCAGAAAGCTGCAGTAAATGGACACCAGTTTGAAAAAGCAGTTTCTACCAAAATCAAGTTTCTAGTTTTAAAATCCCTACTTTGCTCCATGAACTCAGTTTCTCAGTATCCTAAAGTGCTTCTTGTGTTTCCTCTCCTTCCTGCACATTAAAGAAACAGACCTCATAGTTACTACTGCACAGTTATTGTTTTGTTTTGACACAAATCAATAAAAGTAATCCAGCACAGTAAAAAAAATAAAATAAAAATAATAGATAAAGTCACATGGAAGACTGACATTGTCAAATACAACATTCTGCGATTACGGTTTAACTTCGCACACAGGTTTCATGACGTTAATACAGGTACTGACCACTTCAGACTAATAGCAGCACATAATTTCGAATTACTTTTGACTGTGCCACAGCTAATTTTTCTTCTTCTGTTAGCTACATTATTTAATGTTTTAAGATAAAATTGCAACACGGAAGTTCAACTGTATTGAGGTAGGTGGTTTAACTGATGGACAGACTGAGGAGTGACACAGATTACTAGATATAGTTAATCCTTTGTAGCACAAGTAGAGGCGCAGCTATTCAGGTAGGACAGGTATGAAAAATTAGTTTCAGTGCTGTGTATAATTTCATAACAAAGCGGGTCTTTTGCTAACAAGGACTGTGTACCCTTTTTTAGAAGTGCATAATCTGTCTTGCATTTTGAATACAGTCCACAGGACAGCACACAGTACATTTTGATATTACACCAGTTAATAAGTAGGCAGTGAAGCGAGATTTAAGATTTGAAATTAAAATGTAAAACTCGAAAATACTTGTATTAATCTGAAGTGTTAGCTCGAACTGTGCAAGTTTAACTCCCACACAGAAAATTTATCTTCTTACGCCCCCATCATTGATCTTAACAGTGCACAGAAATGGTAAAGTTCCCTCTAGTTCCTTATCCTGCGTCACACATATTTTATCGCACTTCCCTTCTTTTGTCTGCAAAAGTTCAGAGCTTAAAAAGTGTTGTTATAATCAGTGGACAAAGATATTTGATTAGTAAAACCCA